CAGAAGCAGCTGCAGCTGTATATGGGTCTGCAAGCCTATGTTCAGGTGTATAGACACCGCACTCCTATCCCTACTCATCCCTATGCTGCTCCTGCTGCTGCTGGTCTCCTTGCTTCGCTTCTTGCTGCTGCTGGTGGCGCTAATACTGCTGCTGATGGCGCTGCTGCTGCTGCTCCTTCTCCTGCTGCGGCCCCTGCTGCTGCCCCTCCTGCTATTATTGTTGTTGCTGCTGCCGCTAGTGTGTTGTAGCTGCTGCTGCTGCTGCTGCATGCATGGGGGAGGTATGGGTTGTTATTGTGGGTCCCTCATCCGTGTGGGGTTTAAAGTGTCTCCTTTTAATTGCAGACGGAGACAATCAGCTTGATGCAAGATGCCTTTTTAATGTCTCTGAGGATTCAGGAGCTGCAGCGGCAGCACGAAGCTATTACAACAGGCAAGGCTGTCGGGGCTGCTGCTGCTGCTGGGGGGCCCACTGCAGCAGGAGGGAGGGGCAGCAGCTGCTGCTGGTGCGCCTGCACCGGCTGCTGCAGCGTCTACGAGCGGCGAGGAGAATGCAGCAGCTGGTGGTGCTGCTGCTGCACCTGGACTAGCTAGAGCTGCCTGTCTCCCTGGGGGGGGAGACGCGTTTGCTGCAGCAGCAGAACGCCCTATCAGCAGCAGTTTCGCTGGGCCGATGAGCAGCACTTCTTCTTCTTTAACTGCTGTGGGGCAAAGGGGGCCCACTGGTATGCCTGGTGCTGCTGCTGCTGCTGCTGCAGCATACGGGCCCCCTCCAAAGTCTCCGCTGCTGCCTGCAGCAGCAGCAGGAGCAGCAGCAGCAGCACACCACGACCCGCAACAACAACAACCCCACCCCCAAAATAAGGGGCCCATGTCGGCTCAACATCATCTTGCCCAACCTATGCATGCGCAGCAGCAGCAGCAGCACGTGCTGCAGCAGCAGCAGCAACACCCGCAGGTCCAGCAGCAACAATTCCTGCAGCAGCAGCAAATGCTGCAACAACAGCAACGGCAGATGCTGCAGCAGCAGCAGCAACCAACGCCGTATCTGCACAAACAAACCCATCCGACACCTTCCCCTCAGCAGCAGCAGCAGCAGCAGCAGCAGCAGCCTGTGATGCAGACGCAGGCTATGGGGCAGATGCCTGTAGGGCCAGGCCCAATGTAAGGCCTCAGCAGCCCTAAGCCTAAACTCAGCATCATCTCCCATATAGATATCCCTCTGCCTTTAGGGATTGTACCTGCATGCATGCGTTTATGCATGCATGCATTTATGCATGCAGTTATGCATGCATTTATACATTCAGGCTGCATGCGATCTTGCAGGGACTATACCTGCATGCACTTATGCATGCATGCATTTATGCATGCATTTATGCATGCATTTAGGCATGTATTTAGGCATGCATTTAGGCATGCTTCTATGCATGCATTGATGCATGCAGGCTGCATGCGGTCATGCATGCGATAATGCGTGCATCTATGCATGCATTTATGCATGCATTTATGCATGCATAGATGCATGCAGGCTGCATGTATGCCTTTTTGGGACCGAAGCGGCATGCGTTTTTGCATGCATTTTTGCATGCATTTTTGCATGCATGTAAGCTGCGTGCATTTATGCATGCAAGCTTGTGAATTAAGACAGTGGGAAGGGACTGGTCTGCTTCTGAGAGTCGCTGCTGCTGCCTGTCTCCTTTTGTAGAGGAGATAAGACAGAGACGAGGGCCGCGCTTGTGCAGCAGAGGCAAAGCAGGGAGACACACAAAGAGACAGCTAGCTGTCTTGGGGGAGACAGCTAGCTGTCTCCTTAAGTACTTATCTAACGGCCAGCCTCCCTAAAGACTCAGCTTGGTGCTCTTCCCCTATATCCGCATGTAGCTAGCTGGGCCCACCAGGTAGCTAGCCATCTAGCTGTCTCCTGTCTCCTCCGAGGAGACAGCAGACAGCCCATACCGGCCTTCCGTGTGGCAGGCGATGCCTTTCATTGAGAAGCAGCAGCAGAAAGGAGACAGAAGAGATGGAGACCATCCTTATGAGGTCGCACCGCATAAAAGAGGAGACAAAACGGAGACACTTAAACCCAACCCTAAGCTCCTTACTGGATTCATACTTATATAAAAGTAAAGAGACACTTCAAGGTGTCTCCCTGTCTCCTTTCTTCTTCTCTAACTCCCCAGTGACGTGTAGAGACAGCTGCCTGCTACGCAAATCCTCAGCTAGCTACCCCAGCTAGCTACCCCAGCTAGCTACCCCAGCTAGCTATCTCAGCTAGCCATCCCAGCTAGCTATCCCAGCTAGCTACCCCAGCTAGCTACCCCAGCTAGATATCCCAGCTAGCTACCCTAGCTAGCCAGCGCAGCTAGCTGCTTCTCTCAGTGAGCATCTGGTTGTCTTCCTGATGTGCATGGTAGCAAGCTGTCTCTTCAAAAGAACAGCTAGCTGTCTCCTCAGGGAGACAGCTAGCTGCATCCATCTACCCCAATGTGCAGCTAGCTGGCTGGGCAGGCAGAGACAGCAAGGGGCCCTCTATGAGGTCTTCTGTGGGGCCCCTTAGTGCCCTCTACCGCGCCGCCTCAGCTCTTAAAGCCCGTGTTACTTCAAGTGTCTCCTTTTTATTTGGGGGAGGGCGCCGCCTAGGAAGGAGACACTTTATAGGGGTGTAGCTGTCTCCTCTTGTTTGATGGAGACAGGCTAGTAAGCGCAGTGTCTCTGTTGTGTAGAGGCGGCCTTGAGGGCCTTTACGTGTCTTAGGCCTAATATTATAGAAATAAAATAAATTAAATTAAATAAAAAACAAAAAGGAGACAGTTGAAGAGGGTTTATCTCAGAGACAACTACCAGTTGTGTGGGGTGTCGCCCTCCGTCTCGGGGCAGCAGCAGCAAGTGTCTCCTGTGCGCTTAGTAAGCGAGTAGTAGTTCTTCTATAAACTATTTATTGTCTTCTAAATAAAGCAGCTTAATTGTCTCCACTTACACATCTTCTCTCCCTTAGAAGCCTCTGCGGTGTACGTACACCGCAGCGGTCAGCAAGGAGACAGCTGGGAGGCCGGGGTGTCTTCTGCTGCATTTTCTAGCAGGAGATGCACGCAGCATTTGCTGCTGCTGCTGCTGCTGCTGCTGCTATAAACTCAGTGCTTAATTAATGCTCTAGACAGGCCCCCAGCAGAAACGCAGCTGCTGCTGTCTCTTTTGTCTCTTCTGCTGTCTCTTAAGCGCCTTCGCTCGGAAGCTAAACAGGCACACAAGGAGACAGCAGACACTCTGAGGAGACAGCGCAGGGCTTCCCCTACAATGGTGCTGCCTCCCCTTTGTCTTGAGTCTCGCTAGCACCCTGCTCCACTGGTCGGCTAGCTGCTGCTGCTGCTGCTGCTGCTGCTGCTGCTGCTGTGAAGCGTCCCTATTTGTGTCTCTTCCGAGGGCATCTGCAGGGCCAGGCCCCGCCCTCTTCCTTAAAACGAGTGAATTATGCTGTCTCTGCATGCACCTTTGAACTTCGCAGCTTGTTGCTGCTCCCCAAGGAGACACCGCAGCATGGAGACAGCTCGAAGTGTCTCCTTTTGTGTAGCTGTCGCGTGCTGTCTCCTTTCCTTTGCTGCGGAGGGGTCTCCTGTAGCGCCTCAGCGGTCGCTGTCTCCAACAGAATTTGCTGTCACCGATCTGCTGTCCCTTTCTGGGGGTCTTACCACTGCAAGTTCCCTTCTTACGTCTGCTGCTGCTGCAGCAGCAGCAGCAGACGCAGCAGCAGCAGAAGCAGCAGCACCGCAAGAGACACTAAAGTCTGCGGAGTATGCTGTGGGGCCCCCGGGGCCCCTGGACCCGCTGCAAGGCGGGAAGGCAAAGATTAAAGATGAAGACAACGAGAAGACACCCCATCCTGTCTCTAAATGTGTCTCTGAAGATGTCTCCGAGACTGTCTCTCTAGCTGTCTCCGCTGCAGCTGACGACGGCGGAGACACCGAGTGGGTGCAGCACATTGTAGAGGGGCAGCGCCTCACCTTAACCGCCAAAGTTATAGGAAAGACAAACCCAAGCCCCCCCATACACTTCCTGCAGCAATCTTCTTATCCCTCTTCCCTTGCAAGCAGCAGCAGCAACAGCAGCAGCAGCAGCAACGGCGGTGGAGGCAGCAGCAGCAGCAGCAACCTCTCGGACACACTGACATTCCCGGTGGCATCTGTTGCTGCTGCTGCTGCTCCTGCTGCTGCGGTTCGTGACGCCTCTGCTGCTGCTGCTGCTGAGGAGACACCTGAAGCAGGGGCCCCACAAGGAACCCTTCAGGTCCCCTTAACAGAAGCAGCAGGGAGACAGAGACAGCTTCCTGCAAGGAAGCGGCTGGAGGCCCCCAACCAAGTGCAGCTAATGGTTGCTGTTGAGATGATGCAGCAGAAGACCCCTGTCCTCTATGCCTTTCGATGGGGCAAACCAGGTGCGTCTTTAGGTGTACATACACCTAGCTAAACCCTAAACCCTAAACCCTAAACCCTAGACTCTCTCAAAGGTCTCCCACGGACACAATAGTGTATCACCTTTGCCCGTTGTTTGAGTCGCTGTACGTCAATATATATGTTTATATATACATTTATATATGTATATATATATGCATTTATATACATATATATATTTATATATATATATATATACATTTATATATATATATATATATATATATATTTGTGCATGATGAGGCAGCTTTTTAAGGTATGCATCTTTACAGGCAGCTGCTTATATATGTGCATCATAAGAGGCAGCCTCATATATATATATATATATATATATATATACATATATAAGGCATATGTAGATACATATATATATACATATATATATATATATATATATCGAGTCTGTTGTTATTCAGATATATATATATATATATATAGAATAACAATAGACTCTCAACGGCTGTTAGTGAGTGTCTCCTCCTCGTAGTTCTTCTGTCTCTTCTTCTGTTTGTTTGCTGCTGATGTAGCTGCCTTCATCTGCTGCATGCGCATGCAAGTGCGTCCTTCATTGTCTCTATTTTTGTCTGTCTCCGTTGCTGCAGCCACCTGGGCTGAGTACGACTACCTGCTGGAGGCTCGCGAGGAGGGTGTATATATATTAGATTTGAAGGAGCCGCTGCACTTCCCTGTGCATGCGTCTCCTCGATTAAAGACAGAAGGAGACAGTTTAACCCCAGTGTCTCCTGTGCTGCCCCGTCCTCGCAAGAAGCGGGCCCCACAGCAGGAGGCTTCAGGTGTACGTACACCTGGGTTTATACGCGTAGCAGGAGACCAGGGCTGCAATGTCTCTGGGGGCTCTTGGAGACAGGCAAATGGCCCTGAGGCAATAAGAGACCTTACAACGCGTCCCTCGTCTGTCCCCTTATACTATACTATTCAACTAGCACCTCCTCGGGGGTCTGTAGGAGACGCCCTCAAACCCACGAGCTTTGTGCAGCACTCCATCTGTCTCCTTTTCTCAGGGCCCCCTCTGCTGCAGCTGTTTCCTGTAGACAGCGCAAGGCGCTTCAAGCAGCAGCCGCTGCAGCAAGGAGACAATTTGCTGCAACAAGGAGACAATTTGCTGCTGCAAGCAGATAAGGCAGCAATGCAGCACGCGGCTGTCTCCGAGAGCAGCACCAGCCTCGGTGGCTCAGCAAACGAGACACCAGAAGAGACACTGGAGACAACAGAGGAGGAAGGGGCAGCTGATGAGACAGCTGAAGGGACAGCTGAGCTCAGCAGACGGCGGCGAGCAGCGACTGCATGCACTCAAGTGTCTCGGCTCCCCTGGCTGGAAGGAGACACCTCCTCTTCTCCTGTCTCCTCTTCCTTGGGTAAAGAAGAAGCTGTCCCTTTATCTCCTCCTAAGGAGACTCTGCTGGCTGCAGCGCAGCAGCAGCGCGGGCCCAAAGGGAGTGATGTAGGGGGGCAGCAAAGGAGACAGTTGTCTCCAGTGGCTGCTCAGGAGGAGGCCTGCAGCGTCCCTTACTCTGACTTCGTGTACTACAGCGACTCTCTTGCCTTCAGCAGCAGACCCATTCGTGCAACGGAGACAGCAAATGCATGCAGCGGGGGCTCTGCTAGGGCCTTAAAGCTGCAGCCCCACAAGGCAGACGAAGGGTCTCTTGAGGAGACAGTTGCTGCTGCGAGCAGCAGCTGCAGCAGCGGGGGAGACACACTGTCACTACTTCAAGGAGACACCTCACCGAGGCTGCTGCGGCGAGCCCCCTCCGTTACTTTCACTTGGAGGCAGCTGTTGCTGCACAGCAGCAGAGTCAGACAGAGACACCTCAAAGGAGACAGTCCCCCCTCTCCCCCTGATGCTGCCACCCTGTGGGGTTTGCTAACGACAGGAGACATCCCTTGTGCGTTGCTGCAGCTTCGAGCATTAGAGCCTGCAGGAGACGATAATGAGGTGTCTCCTGAGCCTTCAAGTGTCTCCTCTTTAAACTCTTGTGCTGCATTTGAAGTTGCTGCCAGCGCAGGTGTAGTGACGCCTGAAGCCCTCACCCGCCCCTCAGGTGTCTCCTTGCTGCTGCCGAGAGATCTGCTGCCTCTACAAATACAGAGAGCAGCAGGTGCTGTGGTATACCGCATGAAGCTCAGGCAGACTATCCCTAAAGACACCTTCACTCTTCACCAGCTGTCTCCACCGCACCAAGGCCTCGAGCAGCAGCAGCAGCAGCAGGAAGAGAAGCAGCACCAGCATGAACATGAACAGCAGCAGGGACATGAACAGCAGCAGGGACATGAACAGCAGCAGCAGCAGCAGCAGCAGCAGCAGCAAGGAGAGGGTGAGGAGCAAGGGACATTATGGGTTGTTGAGCAGGCTCTTGAGGTGCGGGAGCCGGGGTTTGGGGAGTGGCGCTTGGGGCTGCGGCGCCTGAGAAAAGGGGGCCCTAAAGGAGACACTTTAAGGGGGGGCAGCACCTCGTGCTCTGATGTAGTTTCAGTGTTTGTCTTGCAGCGCTCCTGCAGGTCTGTCCTCGGAGACACCTCCAGGTGTCTCCTCAGTAGCCCCTTCTACCGTTCCTTGCTACAGGCTTGGGGCCCCCTGCAAGCGAAGGCAGGGGGGCACCACCCTAAGCTTGTGCATGCAACGCATGAGGGAGAAGGAGACATCTCGCTGTCTCCTGAAGCTGTCTCCTTCCAACACAGAGACAGTCCCCAGGCTGTCTCTCTACAACGCAGCAACGAGTATGAGACCGCTGCAGAGGCAGCAACAGCAGCTGAAGCAGCAGCAACAGCAGCAGCAGCAGCAGCAGAAGCCCAGGTGTCTAGCCCCAAAGGTGTCTCCTTCCCTTCAATGGGGAGAGGAGACCAGCTAGATGAAGACTGTCATTGGTGCAGCACAGCTATTGAAGCATTTGCTGCAACTTCGTTCTTCAGGCGTAACCTCTTGCAGGCGTCTCTGTCCCTTGGGGCCCCCCCTACACTGCCCAAAAGCCTCGTCTCCTCGCCTTCCACAAAGGTTGCTGCCATGGAGGCCCGTAGACTGAGTGCTGCTGCTGCTGCTGCTGTTGAGGAGACACCTCAAAAGGAGACTGATAAGGATGCAACAAACACCAAGTGGATACCTGTGGGGCCCCCTGCCTTCACTTCCCTATCCCTCACTCCCCAAACCTCCTCCGGGGGACGCAGTCTCTCTGTGTTCGTTGATCTGTCTCCTTTTGCTCTCTCTCGCAATCGCCGTTGCGCCCCTCTCCTAGACCGCATGCAGCAGCAGCAGCACCAGCACCAGCAGCAACAGCAGCAACAGCAGCAACAGCAGCAACAGCAGCAGCAGGAGGTTCTGCTGCTGCAAGGCCGCCGCTTGTATTTCTATTCTCTCGCCGTCTTCGTCTCCAGGGATGCTGTCCCCCCTCAGCCTAAGCCGTGGTGGAACGAGATAAAGGAGACACTTCCTGCACTTGCTGCTGTCTCTTCTATAGAGGCCAACCCCAGGGCCTCCAAGAGACAGGCCCTGTTGCGTCTCCCTGTCTTCTGCGAAGATGCAGCAGACGACGGTGAAGAACAGCTCTTGAAGGGGCCCCCAGGGGGGCCCCCAGAGAGACACCCAAGAGGGCTTCCAGGGGGCCCCAAAAGGAGACACCTGCTGCAGGAGACAGCACGAAAAGAAGGTAAAGTTTCTCTGAGCAGCAGCGCGTGGAATGTTGAGGCGCAGCTGCTGCCGCCGGACTTCAGTTTGCTGCCGACAACTTATGTGCTGCAGTGGCAGTTGCTGGAGACACAGGAGACACCTGCGGGGGCCCTTTCTGCTGCTGCTGCTGCAGCAGAAGCAGCAAAGGGACGCGTAGAGGGGACAGCTAATGATGCATCCGATGCAGACCTCAGGCTGCATCTGCTCGCCTCGTCTGATGTATCCCGTCTCTGCAGTCAGGTATTAAGACATAAATATATAAATATATATATATATATATATATATATGTGTATATAAATAAATGCATGCATTTGTATGTACGGGGATGCGTCCGTCTGGGCGAACACTTTTTGTCTCCATCTCCTGATATGCTCACCTATCTTCAGCGTGCACCCGTACAAATAAATAGATATATATATATATATATATATATATATTCTACTGCTAATAAAAGCATGCATATATATATACATATATATAGCTATAGATGCATATATATGCGTATCTATATATATAAATATATATAAATATATACATCGACATGTATATAATTTGTATGTGTGTGTATCAGGAGTGCCCCGAGTTTGGTTCTTGTGCGATAACGGATAGGGTGGATGGCTTTGCAGTGTTGGGCTGTCGATGTGCATATGGGTATGGGGGGGCGAACTGTGAAGCAGAGATGCTGAGCCCCTTTATAAGGACCTTAGCTCAAGCTTTCTTAATTCTATCAAACCTAGCTATGCTCCCTAGCGCTCTACTCTGTCTTCGCCTCGCCCTCAGACACCTCAATCTACCCGGAAACCCTAACGCATGCAAGCGCTGCAGCAGCAGCAGAAACAGCAGCAGCAGCAGCAGCAGCAGCAGAAGCAGTGGCAGTGGCAGTGCCCGCATGCAGATTAAAGACAAACAAAATAATGCTGCAGTGAGCCATGCAAACTTTCTCCTCTACAGCCTCAGGGCTGCCGCCTACTTCAGCGCATGTACGTACACCCCAATCCACATACACAAAACAGCTTAAATGCAGACAAGCAAAAAACAAACAGAAACTGCTGCACAAAATACACAACAGCTAAACAGGAGCAACAACAACAACCAGCAGCAGCAGCAAGAGCAGCAGCAGAAAGGAAGCATGCAGGAGAGTGCACGGGTGGGGTAGGGGGGGAGACAAAGGGCTGTCTGATGCATGCAAATGCGGGTCTGAGTTGTTGCTTGTCGTTGTCTTTGTTAGTTTGTGTCTCTCGCTTTGCTCCTTGCATGTGTGTTTGTGTCTGTATGTGTCTGTGATTGTATGTATGTGCGTTTGTTTGCTTGTTTGTTTGTTTGTTTGTTTGTTTGTTTGTTTGTTTGTTTGTTTGTTTGTTTGTTTGTTTGTTTGTGTGTTTGTTTGTCTGTTTGTTGTTTTGTTTGTTCATTTGTTTATTTGTTTGTTTATAAGTTTGTTTGTTTCTTTTGTTCATTTGTTTGTTTGTTTGTTTGTTTGTTTGTTTGTTTGTTTGTTTGTTTCTACTGTATGCTGTTAGTTCTTTTTAATGCTGTCTCTGTTTGTTTTAGTTGTGTTGATTGCGTTAGAGAAATTTATATTTGTTTCTGAGTTTAAGTTGTTGATGTTGTTGATGCCTTTTACTTTGTTTATATATTGTTTATAAGTTGTTTATGCTGCTGATATCTTTTACTTTGTTTGCATATTGTTTATAAGTTGTTTGTGCTGATAATAACCTTTTTTTTGTTTATATGTTGTTTATTTGCTGCTTTGGGTTTTGTGTTTTTGTTGTTTATACGCCTTAAACGCTTTTTGTGTGTTTGTTTGTTTATGTTGTTTATATGCTGTTAATGTTTTTTATGTGTCTATATTTGTTTATTTGTTGCTATGTTTTTTATGTTTGTTTATTTGTTTATGCTCTTTATATGCTTTTTTAATTTTATGTATATTTCTTTGTGTGTAAGTTGTTTATATGCTGTTAATGCTTTTTATATTTGTTTGTTTATTTGTTTGTTTATTTGTTGTTTATGTTATGTGTATTTCTTTATCTGTTTTTGTTTTTTATATTGCTTGGATTTGTTTTATGTGTATTTTGTTTAATTTGTTTAGTTTGTTTACTTTGTTTATTTTTTTTAGTTTTGTTTATGCTGCTATTCTTTGCCTTATACGCTATGGATGTACGCTGTTTATGCTGCCTAAGAACTTAATTAAATTAAATGTAATTAAATTAAATTAAATTAAATTAAATCTAATGTAATTTATATTAATTTTTGTTTGTTTGCAGTCTTATGCACTTATACTCATTTGTGTATATTTCTTTTTTAGTTTGTTTATACCGCAACAGCACTATGATAATTCTATTGATGCTTACTGTTTAAAGTTAATAAACAATTTACTTTTGTTTGTTTGTTTGTTTGTTTGTTTGTTTGTTTGCAGTCTTATGCTCCTCTCTCTATCACTCCTGTGTAGATGGTGTTGCGCGTATGCCCCTGGGTGTGCCTATGCTGCAGCGCTTAGATTTTCTGTTTTCATATTATGCATTGGTAGTAACAGCAGTTTCGTTTGCTGCTTTGGGGTCTGCTGCAGCAGAGTTGCTGCTCCTCTTGCTGCTGCTGCTGCTCCTGAGCTGTAGAGTGCTGCCGGAGACACTTGAACCCCTTGATGCTGCTTGCTTTATTGCCTTGTGCATAGCGCTGCCTCTTCTTAGCCTTATTATTAAAGCGTCTCTGTTGTGGAGGAGACAGAAAGATGTACAGACACAGCACCTAAAGCTGCAAGAAGACCTGCAGCACTGGAATCCCCAAGACCTGAGATGGCTAGACAGCCCAGTGGGTGCTATGAAAGACAAGGAGACACTCCTCAGTGGGCCTGACGAGCACGTAACAGAGCAGCAGCATCAGCAGCACCTCCAGCAGCAGCAGCAGCAACACCACTGTGAACTGCAGCAGCTACTCACGCACAAGATGCTTGAAGCCAGAGAAAAGATATGTCTTGAAGCCCTAGGGAAGGCTATAGCTAGCCTAGAGGTGACAGGCAAATGCCTCATAGAGCTGTGCAGCAGCAGCTGCTGCTGCTGCTGCTGCAGCTCTCGACGTCCTTATAAATACATGCAGGATTTTGTCTCCTTCTGCAAGGCAGCTGCTAGGAAGGCCCTGCTGCTGTCTCCTGTCTCCTTAGAACCCCACACTACCTCTCACCAGACACCCCACAACACACACTTAAGCTGGACTGCGTGTCTTGGCCTCGCCCTCACTGACACCGCCCCTCGTCTTGAGTTTCTCGCACTCGGGGGTCTCTTAGCAGTACTCGGTAAGACAAATAAACAACAATAATAACACATTCATACGCGAAGGGAGAGAGAGACGAAGAGGGAGATAGACAGAGAGAGAGGTAGAGATAGAGAGACAGAGAGAGAGAGAGAGAGACAGAGAGAGAGAGAGAGAGACAGAGAGACAGAGAGAGAGAGACAGAGAGAGAGAGAGACAGAGAGAGAGACAGAGAGACAGAGAGAGAGACAGGCAGACAGTGAGAGACAGAGAGAGAGACAGAGAGAGTGAGAGAGACAAAGGAAGGTGCAGGTGGAGAGAGACCCAAATATCTCTTTCTGTCTCCATCTCTGTCTGTCTGTCTGTCTGTCTCTTTCTGTCTGTCTCTCCGTCTCTCTCTCTGTGTGTGTATGTTTGTGTATGCATGTTCTGTCTCTATCTCTGTCTGTCGCTCTCTCTCTTCTGTCTCTGTCTCTCTATGTGTCTCTCTGTGTGCGTCTGCGTGCGTGTATTTCTGTGTCGGCGCCATTTCCTGTCTGTGTGCAGTCTCTGTCTCTGTCTCTGTCTTTGCCTCCATGTGCCTCTGTGTGTGTCTCCTTCTCTCTCTCTCTGTCTCTCTGTCTCTCTGTTTCCCTCGCTCCCTCTCTCTCTTGTGCTCGTTCTCTGTCTCTGTCTCCTTCTGCATGTGTGTCTCTGCTTGTGTGTCTCTTTTGCTGTCTCCTTTTTACAGGAATAGGATGTTTCGGTGTAGGGGAGCTGAGTCCTTACTACTGGCTCTTACATTCTTGTTGGCATGTCTCTATAGAGCTGTCAACGTGCTGCATCCTGCTGTCTCTTCTACACCACCCGCTGCTCTCCCAGCTACAGTCTCCCCCCCCCCCTCAATCATCTGTTGCTGGCTACAGTATCAACACCCCTGTTCGTTCTTTAAGCGAAGCTGTTGCTTCAGGGGAGCAGCACCACTTGCATGCAACTGTCTCCTCACCAGAGGGAGGCAGTAACAGCCTTCATAAGCCCCTAGTAGATGCCTTCTGGAGGGTACTGCAGCACAGCCAGATGCAGCTGCTCACCTTGCAAGAGGAGACACAGGGCCCCTTCTCTCACCCCACAGAGCAGGAGTCTCATCAAAGGAGACTCCACCAAGGAGACAGTTCAGAGGGCCCCCCTCTATACCCTCAAGCAGGGCTACATTGTCTCCTTGGGGTCCTAGCTCCTCACCCAACCGCCCAGCAGCTCCTGCAGGCCCTATCTCGTCTCCTTGTGCTGCAGTACAGCGCACATAAGAGACACCGCAGCGAGTGCAGCAGCAGCAACAAGGGACAAGGAGACACTGACACGCAGCCCCTGCCCTCCCCTACATATGGAGAAGAGGGACTCGTTAGGGTTGGCACAGCAGCTCCTCTGTCTCCTCCTAGCCGCTCGCCCCACAGCACCAACTCTACCAGCCCCACCAGCTCTCAGGGCTGCTACGAAGACTCCGCATGCAGCGAAGGGGCTGAGTTAGGGTGTCTCTGGTGCATTGCAAGTACTGTATTAACACAAGAGGAGTTGCTGAAGCTGCATGCAGAGAGGCTTAAGTGGGCCTGCCGCCTGCGATTGACGCCGCAGCTCAGCTGCTTGCTGCTACCCTGGTGGCTGCAGGGGAGACAGATGGAGACAGAGACAAGACCTATTCGAAGGCACCTCCGCATACCCCAAACAGATGTTCTTCTGTACACCTAGACCTCCTGCAACAGCAAACACTGTCTCCTTGAGGCCTAAAGGCCAATCAATACACTGTCTCCTCGGCTGAATGGCTTCTTGGCACTTCTCTTTGTCTGCAGCAGCAGCAGCAGCTGCTGCTGCTGCTGTTGCTGCTGCTGCTGCTGTTAGCTCTGTTCCGAGGAGGCACCGAAGAAGCGTGCGCACTCCAAAACAATGCGTTCGTGAGTCTGTGTTCATGCACAGCTGCTGCTGCTGCAGCAGCTGCAGCAGCAGCAGGCTTAGAACAGGTCTCCGCAGCAGCCCATGTAGGCTTTCAGAGGCCTTCGCACAAATGCGAGGGGCAGACCCCCTCCCTCCCCCAAACTAGCTATGCTGCAGCTGGTGGTGTTTCAAAGAAGAGGAGACACTTTGTCTCTCTCAAGCGTAAACAGCAGTAGACAGAATGCCAGCAGCAGCAGCTGACTTTGTGTCTCTTTCTTCTGTCTCCTAAACTTCCTCTCTTTGCTGGGCTTGGCTGCTGCAGAGAGCCTCTTCCCCAGATAAAGATGAGGAGGGCTCCAAGCATTTGGCCCCACAGTGCAAACAGACTCCAAAGTATATATATATGTGTGTGCATATATATATACATATATATATATATATATATATATATA